GGTTCTCCAGCGCTATATAGTAATGGAGAGAAAACAATACTTAAAAAAAAATCACAACAAATTAAATTAAATGCAATCGAAATTTACTGAAATTATAACAATACAGCGGAAATAGTGGGAATTTGAAATCAGTGCTGCGTTTCAGTTAGTTTCTGTGTATATTTTGTTATCCTTCGAAGCAAACAAAACCCTTACTCTCCATCGTTATGATATTTTAATGAAATGTTTATGTGGTTATAATTTTTAATGTTTCGCATCCCTGTGATTTGCATATATCCACGTGTAGTCTGTTGTTCGCAAATCCGAGTTTAATAAACTGGCTTCTTTACGCTTTCATAGTTTCAGAATCTCGCGCAAAACTAAAGAAGGGCTTCATCTGTGCATAACCGTCCTTAATTATGAACTCGTACACCAGAGGGAAGACGGTTATAGTTAACGAAATCCATCGACATCTCATGAGATATTCTTGTATTACCGAATAGCGAAGTCTGACCGTCACTCTTACAGCGCACCCCCGGTCTTAAACTGCGAAACACGTGTTTTGCGGCAGCGAGACGAGAACCATAAACCCTCGGATTTACAGCCTTAGCACGCTAACCAATAGGTTCTGCCCGGTCCACATAATTTACTACTAACCAGGTTATGTTATAGAAGTTAATATTGCTATTACCGAAGCAAAATTATTTTAATAATTAGACTGTTAGTTTTAAAAAACAAAACAAAAAGGTTCTATATAATAATAATAATAGTCTTAACTGGTATAATAAGGATTATTGCTACGTAATATATCGTGAGATACCATACGTTCATGATACAGAATGAAGGAGACGTTACGATTATCGAGTGCTAAAAAGACTTCTACAATCGTGATTCTAATATCCAGCAAACGATGGAAGAGATAAAACCAGAGAAGCCGGTTGAAGTTGTCAAAAATCACAGAACAAGTGAGAGACCTAGTCATGGTTTTCTTTAGCGTCCAGACAACAACGGTAGGCGTGGCTAAGTAAATTACCATGACTGGAGCTACAAAATACTCCCAGTTTGTAGAGTGTAATACAAATAAATAAGATAGTCATGGGAGTTCGATAAAGAAATATTACAGGGGAAGAGGAATAAGCACGACTGCAGTCGCAGAAATAAAATGTATAGGGGATGTGACAGCACAATTATGTAAGTTACCACCAAACTTATAGATTGTGCTGTCACATCCCTATGTAAGTGACCACCAAACTTATAGATTGTACTGTCACATCCCTATGTAAGTGACCACCAAACTTATAGATTGTTCTGTCACATCCCTATGTAAGTTACCACCAAACTTATAGATTGTGCTGTCACATCTCTATGTAAATGACCATCAAACTTATAATTATTATTAGATGCAGGATCGGTGCCAGCTTTTTATTGGTGAGGGGGGCTGAAGAGGACTCGACAAAATATTGAGGGGGCTACACTCTACACCTGGTTGGCACACACATTGTAGTATTCGAGAAGTGAACTAAGTTTAACAATAAGCAGATTTTTGCTGGGCACGGAGGCTACCGGGGAGAATAAGGCAAATTTTGGGATAGCTTCAGCCCCAGCAAGCCCTCATTCCTGATTAGGTGATAGATCCGAGATAGATTGCAGAGTTTTCAACACAGGAAGAACATAATGGTGGAGGTATAGGTTTGAACTGTCGAATCACAAACTAAAACGTGCCGATTGGGTATACAGAGACGGACTTAAATAAATTAAAAGTATTATTGGATGATAAAGTAGATATTTTACGGTTTTCGACAGAGGAAAAGCACTATGGAAAACTCAAGTGTGTATATATAAACACACACACACATATGTATAGGCTTAACTGTATAGTGTTACAGAATACATTATGAGGTCATATACAGGTACAAATATTTGTCGACATTATAACTATTATTAGATGTTTGTTGTTTTCGATAAAGCGGAATAAAAATGGTAAGGCAAGACTGTATGGAGTCACAGAATAAAACGTGGGATTACTAATTAGACTTGTCATAAAACATTAGTATTAGGCCTATTGTATTTTTAAACACTACGTTCTTTACCTAGTTCCTGAGGGATTTTCAAATATCAGAAGAATATGTAATAATATACTCTTCTTGAAAATTCCTAAGGAACTAGTTAGAGAATATATTGTTAATAAAGGCGTTCAGACGATAACAAAACGCGAGACGGTTAGGGTTACAGTATAGATTCCATAAGTAAGGAAAATATGAAAGTAGTTCTATATTTCCAGCCAACTTCATTACATTTTGCTGTCTGGAAAGTTTCTATGTTTACCCTCAAGGTTTGTTTTATATTTCAACGCACAATAACAACAACAACAACTTCACTCCATAATCAGAATCATTGTTGGTATTTACAGATTAATTTATTGATTGAATTGTACCTCTTGTGTAACAGAAAGTGAAAGAAACAGAATTTCGAAACGAATTTTTCAAGTGATTTTATACCAACTTAAATAAAAGCTAAAGTTTAAAGTTATTTCTTAAATATCTATCATACCAGCATACTCGGTAATGGAACTTATTGGTATTCACAAAGTCACTTAATAATTTGTTTTGTCGTATACAGTTTACCGGCGGAAAATAGAGGATATCGAAACGAAACTTCACCTATATTCTTATTTAATAAAAAAATTTTCAAGCGTTTGTCAGACTTTATACCAGTTCGCATGAACACATAAAGTCAAAAGTACTTTTTAGTTTTATAGTTTGGAAGACATTAGGACATAATTATGGAAAAAATTACATTAAATAGTTCTTCTCCTTCCTTAATTTTACACCTAAAACATAACATGAATACCAGCTTAGTTTGCAACTCTGTTGTTATTTTATACATAGTTAACAGCTTAGTTTTACAACTCTGTTATTATTTTATACATGGTTAACAGCTTAGTTTTACAACTCTGTTGTTATTTTATGCATGGTTAACAGCTTAGTTTTACAACTCTGTTATTATTTTACACATGGTTAACAGCTTAGTTTTACAACTCTTTTGTTATTTCATACAATGTTACTAGCTTAGTTTTACAACTCTTTTGTTATTTCATACAATGTTACTAGCTTAGTTTCACAACTCTGTTGGCATTTCACGCATGTTTACTAACTTAGTTTTGCAATTCTGTTGTTATTTCACGCATGGTTA